TGCGATGCCCAAATTCGGCCAGTACAACAGCAAACACAGTCCCAGCCGCAGGGTGGCGTGGGTCCTAACTGGGGAACCAGAAGCAGTACAGCTGAATCTGGTCGAGCCGCAGGGTGGCGTCTGTGCGTGTACGCTGGGTACATCACCTGAATGATGACGGCCGCCAAAATGCGAGGTCACGGAGTTTCCGGTTTTAGGGTCGACCCCGATACAACACTGGCTCGTCAGTGTCCTCAAATACAAAATACTGAAAAATCAGAGTCCGGAATAAAAGAACACTAAAACATCATGGTCCTTAAAATAAAAGGCAGATACATCAGGGTCATGACAAAAGACGAGGGTCAAACTTCCGGAATTCAGGGTAAAATTCCTGAAATTGGAGGCCCTGGTCGCGGGGGCATTGGTCTGTCAAAAATGCATTACCGCGTATTTGAATAATCCGTAGCGCATCCGGAGGGGGATTTTTGGGCAGTTGGGCGGATTGACTCGGATCCGGTGGTAACTTCCTCGATGGTCAATTTTCGAGAAATCATGGGCTGTGCAAAGTTGGTCGATCAGTTCGTTGGCTCGCGGAATGGAGTAACGGGGCTTGATAGTAACTCTGTTCTGTGCGAGGTAGTCCATGCACATGCAAAATCCCCCATCTTTATTCGGTGTGAACAGTATCGGTGCTGCGAACGGTGATGAACTCGGGCGAATGAACTGACTCTCGATAGGTAATCTAACTATTTGTGTAATTCGTCCAGTTCGTGTTGGGTCAGTTGGAGTTGCTGCTATAATTTCGGCTGTGCCCCCGGTTCCAGTTCTATCCTATGGTCGTGCGGACGCTGACATGGCAGTCCCTCCGGTAGATCATCTGGGAAAATCCCACTGTATTGCTTCAGTAGCGCTGCCAAGTCATCCTGTAGTTCGGCAAGCAGTTTCTGTAAATCGTTCGGCTTCTCTGCTGCCTCAGCTTTCCGAATGTCAACCGTTTACACATCAGCTATGGCGCTATGGCGTGTTTCATCGTGATTGCGTTGGCACGCACCGACGAAGGCTCGGGCGAGCTCCAGCAAGGTAAGGCGATGTTGTTACCGTTCACTTGCACGATGCAGTCACTCTCGTCCAGTCGATTCGCGGATTGTGTCGTTGCAGGCAATCACGACAGAGTAAAGTGTCGGTCCCGTCAAGGGTCATTGCGAGCATGTTCTAGGTGAAGATGAGATTACCTCCGCATTGGATCCAAACTTGGTGCACACGTTCCCGTTTCACCAGTGGCATGCTGTCGACCAGTCGTGCGTCAATCTCAGGTAAACATCTGTCCAGTGGCAATTTCAGTCTCTGTGCTGAGGCAGTGTTGGTCAAGCTCTAGCTAGCCCCCCTGACTATGAAGATCTTAACTCAGTCTGTCTGTAACTTCTTACTAAGTAGTATGGGGCTGTCTACCGTTGTACCCTCCTTATTCGGCCGGGTGTGGTCGATTGCGTGAACCGGCACAATCACTTAGTGAGGGTCGGCTGTGTCAGGCCAGCGACTGTCCTGCCTAATGCAATCCTCACTATCTCGTTCTATTGCAACCGTAACATTCAGCAAAAATAGCTGTACTCTCTCGCGCAAAAAACAAACTGATGCAATATATTCAACTTGATATTTAAGAAATGTGCACATGTGTCTGGCTGTTTGTAAGGATTTTTTAGATATTCATTACCGCGTTCTTCAACACCGCGTACAGCAGCAGCCGTTCTTTGCCCGTTACTGCTTAGGCGCTTCGCCAACTTCGCGCGCACTGTTCTACCAAACCATGCACCGCTGGCCTGGCCGAGTCGGCCTACGCATCGGGACTAGCCAGAACTTCGATGCCAGCCTAGAACTTGCTAGCTCGCACGCACTGCCTTACTGCTTGAAACTTTTCGCGTATAAGTATTCGCTCATGCCTTTGCTCATACTTTGTACTCGTTTGACACCTAGTGCAATCCTCGCTATCTCGTTCCATTGCACCCGTAACACTTGGTATTCATAGCCACCTCCTTTTCGGACCACGCATCTCCGCACCTAGAGAAATCAACTTCTGATTTTTGCACTCGAAGGAACTCATGCCCCTTAGCACCTATGAGCCACTCTCCTTGCGTTCTCTTGTAAATGGGTACAGCCACGACTGCGCCTAGAGCTAAGCCAATGCTGCCGCCCTTCGACATGGCTGAGCATATCAACGTCACACCACTCGCGCAGGAGCGTCTTAACCAACTGCTGCAGAAGCTGCACGAAAACACGGAGGAAATTCAAGCGCTGACAGCAGAACGCACGTTGCTGCAAAACAATGTCGCACGGGCGCAACAAGCACAATCACAAGCACAAGGCATACAAAGGCAAGCAGCACGACAAGCTTCACACCACGAAAGCGTGGGGCAACCCTCGAGCGCGGCTAGTGATGGCGTCGCTCGCAACGACGCAACGACGGAAACAACGACCACGACGCGACACACCTCGAAGCGACAAATGCGGCCGGGAGCCAACCACGCGTCACGATTTCTGTGTCGACCAGCAAGTCAGCACTGTCGTTGCCGATGCTGCTCAAGCCGCAGCGTCCGCCTTGCTTCGATCCCAGCCAACGGGGTGGTCCGACCATTCAGGCGTGGTTGTTCATAATGAACGTAGAGGATATGGGGAAGAATCGATACGCCGTGTCGCTGCCGTGAGGACCCGCCATGGATTGGTGGCGCGTCATCGTCACAAAGCCGGTAAACTACGAGACTCTACTGATACGGGGAAGACAAACTAGACCCTAGACGTCGTCGTATGTCATGGGATTCCCAAAATATCGCACGTGGGACGCGTGGTGCGCAGGTCTGCGTGCACGGTTCGAGCCAATTGCCGCTTCGATTGCGACGCTTCAGAAGCTCCGCACTTAGCGACAGCTCGGTTCCGTCCAAGACTATACGAGCGGGTATTTGATGTTGTGCGAGAAGGCGGGCTATAAGCACGAGGGAGAACGTATTGACCGCTACATCGGCGGTCCGAAACATGAAACCAACCAAGAAACCTAGCTTCACAATGTCACCGAATTCAAGGACATCCTCGCTATGGCGGAGAAACTTCACTTCTTACGCCGACTGAGACTGGGGTCCTACGGCAATAAAAGCAACTTGGAACATCGGTCTCGTGGGATAAACAAGCATGCCACGATATGTGTTATTACCACAAATGCCACAGCCACACCATTCAAAGGGTGCTGCTTCGCGTGTAGCAGGCCGGGACATTGAAAAGGCAAATGCCCGAAAAACGCTAAGAAAAAGGGGGAAGCTGAGCAGCAGAAACAGACCAAGAAACAGGGAAACGCTGGGAGTCAGTGGCAGACGGGTAAAAAGTATGAGCGAAGGCATGAGCAAAGACGTATAAGCGAAACATGCAAACGGTAACGCGGTGCGTGCGAGCTAGCTAGTGCTAGGCTGGCATCGAAGATCGGGCTAGCCCCAAAGCGTAGGCCGACTCAGCCAGGCTAGCGGTTCATGGTCTGGTGAAATTGTGCATGCGAAGTTGGCGAAGCACCGTTAGCTGTAACGGGCGAACAGCTGCTACTGCTGTACGCAGTAAGGAATGTCGAATTTTCCTTACACTCCCTACCCCCCTCTCCCCCCCTCCCCCCCAATCCGCTCAAGTAGCCCCTCTGCTACGCGAGTGCGTGTATATCGCGGAAAACCTGGCTCCTAAGGTACACTTACATGGTAGGGTGTTTTTCGATGTTGGTCAGGGGCACCCAGCTAGCTTCAGCTGGCGTGCGGTCCTTCCAACGAACGAGGAAATTGATCCTCTTGATGCCTGTGGGGTGGCAAATACGCAGGCTTTGAATCTTCACTGGCTAAATGATTGGCTTTGATGTAGGGCGAGTCATGGATGATGGGCGGTGGCGAGGCAATTCACTCGTGATTGGGATACATGGGCAAAAGCAGGCTGACGTGGAAAGATGGGCTGATGTACCTGTCTGCCGGCAACAGTAGGTGGGGGGTAACTGGGGTGATCATGTGGCTGATCTAAAATGGTTCACAGTAGCGCGGTCAACGTTTCGGTACGACGAGCAGTCTTATGTTCTGTGTGTCGAGTATGACATAGTCTCTTTACTGTTATGTGACGGGGCGGTGGTGGTGGTCAACAATCCTTTTTTCGATGATGTTGGCTTTCTTGAATGCATCTACTGCTCGTGTTTGGGTAGCTTGCAGGATCTCAACAAACTATTATGCAAGTGGCGTGGGGTTGTCCGGAATCGGCAAGATGGGCGCTGTTGGGTTTTGCCCGTAGTTCAGGTAGAACGGGGACTACTGTGTCGTCGCTGACGTGGCGTTGTTGTAGGCGAACTCGATCAGCGGCAGCTGCTGCTCCCATGTTGTCGGGTCATCGCACGTGGCATGAATCAGTTACTCCATAGTCTGGTTCGTTCACTCTATTTGATTGTTGGTCTCGGGGTGGTACGACGAGCTGAACTGTAGCCTGGTCCCGAACTGCTCCCAAAGGTTTCTTCCAGAAATTGCTGGTAAACTTCGTGACGCGGTCGCTAATTATCGTGGATGGTATCTTGTGCAGTCGAACAACTGTTGCAATGGAATTGATTTCGTGCACGCAGCAAAGTGAGCCACCTTCGTCAGTCTGTCAAAGACGACCATAACCCCAGGCTCCACAACCACCTGCTCTACAGAGGAGATTGGGAAGAGTTGTCGCTTGATGGTAGAATCGCTGATGGTAACAACACCACAGAAGGGCAGAGCAGTGATGGTGGAGGGACAGACGAGGAGAGGGAAGAGAGGCAGTGTTCACTGCACTGTGACCGCCCTGCTGCCACTACTACTGCTACTCCTGCTGCTGCTGCTGCAGCGGGGGAGGAGCAGAAGCAGCAGCAGGGCTCGCTGGACCACCAGTGGTGTTTGGCGGAACAGTGGGATGCTGAGCCAAGAGTGGGCACGCCGGGGAAGGCGCACGGGCGCACAGGGGAGGGAGCGGACGGCAGGAAGCACTGGTGGCGGCACACGATGGTGCCGCCCGCTGTGAAGCTTGCCATGTGCGCCCTCGCCCGCGCCCTCCTCTCCCTCCCCTCCAAGGCTATCGTCCGCGCTGTTGGCGCCAGGTGTGTTTTCCTGCTTGCCTCAACAACTGGATTTTGTTTCACCCTCCTCGCGCCACCTCCTCCCTTTCTTCCTGTAATTGGTCAACACCAACCCTTTCTCACCAGAAGCTTCTCACCACATTCTCACCACATTCCGTTCCACCCTTTCGTTTTTGTTATTCCGTTCTCACCACATTCTCTTGCCTCCATCTCTCCACCCCTTTCTCTCTCTCCTTTCATGCTCCACACAACCCCTCCCTGTTGGGTCCCCCCGCCTTGGCGTGGCGTGGCATGGCATGGCACGGCATGGCATGGCATGGCTTGGCATGGCATGGCATGGCATGGCAGGTACGACGTGCGGCTAGCAAACGTGTGGCTGCCAGCGGTGCTGCTGAGGGAGGACAACTGGAGGCAGCTGGTGCAGCGCTCCCACGCTTCCAAGCCGGGCGCCGTCAGACTGCGCGCTGCTGAGACCCACCTGGAGGAGGCTCTTGCGCTTGCAGTGAGGAAGGCTATAGCGAGGATGGAGGAGGACAGACGAGCTGCAGGGGGCGGTGGGGGCGGCGAGGCGGGGAGCAGAGGGGGGCCGGGGGCGGAGTAGCAGCAGGTGTGTGTGAGGGCGGTCTAGGAGTATGCGAGGCGACTGGCACCGCTGGTGGGGATGGGTCGGAGATTCAAATGCAGCCTGGCATGGGTGCAGCAGTTGATGCTGCGCTGGGGGTTCCATCCCCCTGGTGGCGCGGGAAGAGCAGGTGGTGGGGCGAGAGGGCAAGGGGGCGGGCTGTGTGGGAGGAGACGGGAGGAAAGTCGGACAGAGGACGAGTTTGAGGAAAGGGGGGGAGAGGAGGGGGAGGAGAGTGAGGAGCAGGGAGGAGTGAGTGCGAGGATAAGGGGGATGTTAGTGTAGTGGAACAATACAAATTATAACAAATATATTTTAACACACCCCCATACTCTAGGTGATTTTAGTGCAGTGGAATTCATAGGTGGATCACGAAGTCATCACACATCCTGAAAGCAAAGGTTACAGGACTAGTCAACAAGAACAAACAACGGTCACAAGACCATTCTATAGGAACAAAACAAATCTCTGGGTGGACCTCAAGATCACGACACAGTCCAAGAACAAGCATGAAGCTAGTCCACATACAAGTGTATAGCAAAAATAGGAAATGCAAGAGTATTATACAAGCAAGACAAGAATCTCTACGTAAGTAAGTGAGGACTGGCAGGAACAAGGCCCATCTGGCTGCAGAAACGCTGGTGGTCACAAGACGACAACGAATTGGTGAAGATATATATAGTGTTGGCCTTAGAGGAAACATGTACCACGTGGGCCTGGCCACGCTGCCGCAACTCGAGCGGAAGGAAGTAACGAAGCTGGACGTGCTTCACCTTCCCAACCAGTAGGGGCTCCTCGCACAACAAAATAGCAGTGCCTGTTGTCAGCGAACAAGACTGGCGGACAGCAAGGCCGCTTACCACAGTCGGTGAGGTGGAAAGAACCCCCTTTTCTTTTTTGCAATGCAAGTTACACTATAATAGCGCATACAAGCATTAACAGTCGTAATTGTAGCTGATGGGCTTAGATAGCAGCCTGCCATCGTACCCATCCCGACACCTTAAGGAGGATGGAAAATCGTGCGCGGGTTGGCCCAGATGGAGGTGAAGCCACTTGTCCACGAAAGCGATTTAGCAGAGCTGTCGCATATCCTGCTCATGAGAAGAAATTCGTCCGGGTCCAACCGCTCTAGGATAGAACGTTGCCCCGGCCCCAGCATGGTCCCCGCTTGTTTACTTATATTTTTTGCCCGCAGGTAATCCCTCGTGTGGGTGTAGAAGGCCACCGCAATTCTCCACAGCACCCTCTTGGACCGGAACCACCCCCTCTCAAAGGCAGCATCAAACCTCTCTACCCATATCTTGTGCACAGCAAAGGCAGTGATTGTTGTCTCAAGAAACCCCGATCCCGAGCCTTCCTTCTGGTATAGCAGATCACACAGCGAGGCAATCTTTCTGCCCGGGTTGATGACATGGAGGGCTTTCAAGAGCCCCCGAACCACCATCTGGATGCGGGGGCACTCAAACAAACAGTGCTCCGCTCCTCTCCACCACAATGTGGGCATGCAACGCTCTCCAGGAACTTCAGTAGCGTTGGAGCTGCTACTGGTGCTGAGGACCCGGCCGGTGGAGCTGCTGCTGGTGCTGTGGACCCGGACGCTGGAGCTACTGCTGGTACTGAGGTGTCAGAAATAACGGACAGGAATGATGAACTAGAAAGAACTGGGAGTACAAATATGAAACCCTAATGTTGTGACCCCCCTATAGGCTAACCCACTACAGCCTACACAAATATAACATATACAATAATTGACACACCCCCATAGGCAAAGTGGGGGAGACCTAGGGGTCACAAGACCAGTCAAGGCAAAGCAAGGCAACAACAAGCTCAGGGTGGATCTCAAGGATTCCACACAAATTCCGAGCACAAGCTAGTGGTCACAAGACCAGTTCACATGCAGGTTTATAACAGAGCAAGAGATACAGTGATCACAACCTAGCAAGAGTAAACATGCAGGTAGATATATATATAGTGATCACAGTACAAGCAAAGTCAAGAGGTAAGTAAGTGAGGTCCAGTAGGCACAAGGCCTAGCAGAGTACAGAAGCGCTGATGGTCACAAGGCGGAAGCGCCTTGGTGAACACATCAGCAAGGTTGGCCTCAGTGGCCACGTAACGCAGACAAAGCTGACCGCGCTGCTGCAGCTCTCGAGCAAGGAAGTACCGCAGGGCGATGTGCTTCGTTCTGTGCTCCAGTCTGTGCTCCTCACACAAGGCAATGGCAGCCTTGTTGTCGACGTACAGTACTGGAGGAGAACGAGGCCGCTCTCCAAGGTCGGTCAGCAGGTAGGTCAGCCAGCGTAGCTCCTGGGCAGCCATGGCTGTAGCGTAGATCTCAGCCTCGCAACTGGAGCCGAGAACAGAAGAAGAGCGTGTAGAGCGCCAAGAAACTGAGCCAGAGCCAAGGCTGAAGGTGTAACCCTGAGACGACCGCTGAGTGGCCTGGTCGTCTGCCCAAGAAGCGTCTGAGTGCCCTGTGAGAACAACTCGGTCTCGCCCTCCAAGCACAAGCCCCATGCCCGACGTACTGCACAAGTAGCGCAACACCCTCTTAGCGGCATCCATGTGCTCCTTCCTGTGACGGCCAGGAGCGACATAGCGTGCAAGGATGCTAAGAGGGTATGCAAGGTCAGGTCGAGTGCAGGTCATCAGGTACATGAGGCAGCCCACAAGCTCTGGATACGGGCCACTCGGCTCTACGGACTCATCCGAAGGCAGAGCTGAGAGCGAGTGACCGGTAGGCAGAGGAGTGGACTGAGGCGAGGAGTACGTGAAGCGGAAGCGCTGGAGAACCTGCTGCACCATGTGTGACTGAGTCAGGGTGATGGTGCGCCGTGCTCTGTCCCGGGTGATCCGCAAGCCAAGATAGCTTGTCAGCTCACCCAGGTCTGTGCACGTGTGTCTCCTCTGCAGCTCCGACTTCACGTAGGCGAGTCCTGCAGTGTCAGCAGTGGCAAAGACCAAGTCGTCGACGTACACGAGGATGTAGAAAGGCGGCAGCGAAGTGACGGGTCAGCTGTAGAAGGCGCGAACCCAAGAGCCGCAAGTGTAGTCCTCAGTGTGTCGTGCCACTCACGCGGAGCCTGGCGGAGACCGTAGACCGGCCGCTGAAGCCTCCACTGGGTACCAGGAGGAAACGACCCAGTGAAGCCAGGTGGGCGGCGCAGCCAGATCTCCTCGTGTAGGCTGCCCTGCAAGAAAGCAGTGCTGAAGTCAAGTGAGTGAAGCTCGTAGTCGCGGTGAGCGGCTATGTGCAGCAGCACCCGAAGAGTAGTCATCTTCGGGGTGGGGGAGAAGGTCTGGAAGAAGTCAACTCCCTCTCGCTGACTGAAGCCTCGAGCCACGTAACGCGCCTTGAAGACAGGCGGAGAACCCGGCGGCCGCTTCACCCTGAAAATCCACATGCCACTGACGATGTTCGCCCCAGGAGGGGGAACCTCGTCAACGTAGGTGCGTGTGGACTTCCAGGAAGCCATCTCGGCGTCCATGGCTGTCTGCCACTGAGAGGAGTAGGGACCCGCCATCGCCTCAGCGTAAGTGCGCGGGGTCGGGATGTCTGGTGCATCCGGGTCTCCCTCAGGGGCAACTAGCAGGGACACGAGACGGGGCAAAGCAGCAGCAAGACACTGGAACTCCTCCTGTCTGTCCTCAAGGACGTCCGTGCCAAGAGCACACTCACCCCCGACGGACGGAGGACAGACAGACTCAGACTCAGACTCAGCAACCAGGCTAGCAGCATAGTCTAGACGACAGGCAGCAGCAAAGTCAACCAACTCAGCGACCAGAGCAGACGCAGCCGAGGACTCAAAGGTAGGGTCAGTGACAATAGTAGCAAGGAGACGCGTGACAGTAGGGTGCTCAGCACGATACCGGTCAGACTCAGGGTCCGGAACGTCAGGCAAAGAGGACGCAGGAGGAGACGGTAGAGGGACACGCTGAGGAGCAGTAGAGGGACGCAGAGTCATGTAGTGAGTGCCTGGGACAGGAGGAGGACGCTCACGACGGACACGACTACCAGTGCGAGCAGTACAAACAGGCGACGCAGGACGAGACTCAGGCTCACGACGCTCTGTAAGACCTCCTGTGGGACCAGTGTAAGGAGAGGGAGCAGGGAGAGGCGAGGTAGGCGGTAACTGTGACTGCGGCTGGACAGGCGGAGGACACTCTACGGAGGGAGGAGGACAAGGAGGAGGAGCCTGCCCAAGAACCTGCTGAAGGAGCGGTACGAAGTACGGTCGCGGCCGCGCAGCGTCTCCAGAAGCAGAGGAGACTCCAGCGGCCGGGTCCACAGCACCAGCAGCAGCTCCACCGGCCGGGTCCTCAGCACCAGTAGTAGCTCCAACGCCCGGGTCCTCAGCAGCAGCAGCAGCAGCGCCACCGCTCGGGTCCTCAGCTCCAGCAGCAGCTCCACCGTCTGAGTCCTCAGCACCAGCAGCAGCTCCACCGTCCGGGTCCTCAGCACCAGCAGCAGCGCCACCGCCCGGGTCCTCAGCTCCAGCAGCAGCTCCAACGTCCGAGTCCTCAGCACCAGCAGCAGCTCCACCAGGCGGGTCCGCAGCACCAGCAGCAGCTCCAACGTCCGGGTCCTCAGCACCAGCAGCAGCGCCACCCCCAGGGTCCGCAGCACCAGGAGCACCACTCCGAAGACTGCAGCGCCGTGTGTACCACTCGCGGATCTGCTGAATGGGGGGGAGCTCCTGGGTAGGAGGGGAAGTACCGGGACGAGCTCCAGTAGCACCTCTCCGGAGGCGGCAGTACTCGAGGTACCTCTCCTGCAGCTGCTGGGAGGAGAGGGCTCCTCCAGGTGTAGCACGCTCAGGCTCAGCACCCCCAGGCTCAGCACCCCCAGACTCAGCACCCCCAGGCTCAGCACCTCCAGACTCCGCACCTCCAGGCTCCGCACCTCCTTACTCAGCACCCCCAGGCTCCGCACCCCCAGACTCAGCACTCCCAGGCTCAGCACCCCCAGACGCAGCACC